ATTATTTAAACGTAAACAAGCAGCTAAAAATGGTTACTCCAAATTACACGCAAACTGAAGATGACTTCTTCAGTAGTGCATAAACATAAACGACTGTTTTGTAAAAGATGAGTTTTCAATTTGTGGGGAACGACATTCACATCTGGAGAGCTTTTCCTGCGGAAGGGGTGGGGTGATACTCGTCGGAAGAGCATGCACAGGCTGGAGAATTCCTGGACGGATTCTTGCCTTTGTTTAGATTTGCGTAAGCCAGAGAATTGCAAGTCTACAGACTCTGCCACATACATCAACCTTCCCCAGTTGGCACTCTCCAGGTGATATGGACTGTATGTCCCGTCATTCCTGACTATTGGTCGTGCTTGCTGTGGCAGATGGGAGGTGGAGTCCAAAAGATCTGGAGGATATCAAAGTGGGAAAAGTTGTCTTGATCTGTAACCTTGTGCCTGGGAGTCTCATTGTGCTGAACAGGATGTCTGAGTGGAACTATTACATTGAAATCCTATATCTAATCACCCGAAAATTTGTCCTGCTGAATGTCTAGGGATTTGCTGGGCAGTAAGCATGCACACCATGGCACTATTAAGAATATAGGTGGGTCCGTGTGTTACACAGTCAAATGCTTTCCTGCATCAGAACTCCCTATGCACAGAAAACTAAGAAGTTAAGACTCTCCCTGACATGCTAGCTTTCTGCAAGCGGAAGGTTTATGAGAGTGGGTTGATCTTCAGTTATGTAACAACCCCTGCCCCCCCCCCCATTTGTACATTCTGGAGCATTACAGGCCAAAGAAGCTTGTATTACACGATGCAGCAGAATTTTCTGGTGCACAAACTGCAGAAAAAAAGAAATCCACTAATGTGTCCATCATCTCCTTTTGGGGCCTAGAAAGCCACGTAAACTGAATGATGGTGCACTTTAAATAGCAAGACAAAGTGAATGATAAACAAGTTCCCTCTGGAATGTTAGTGGTGTGCATACAGGAGTGAGTCAGTGTGGGGGAAGCTGTGTATCTCTGCACAGTCTATGGTTGTTTTAAGGCACAATCCTATGCATGTTTGGACAGGGGGAAAAGCTCTACAGCCCACCGCATTTCCCCTCCAACTCTGCCCCTGAGGCATGCTGGGAATTGTAGGAGTTGTTCCTCTGTAAATGTGCATAAGGTCGTGTTGCCAGTTCAGAGCCATCATGGTGCTTCCAACAATTGCTGGGCAATGATGGGTTTTCATTCATTCGTCAAAGTGTGTTTGATATTAAAATTTATTTTTAAGGAAGCACAACTTACAAGGCCACAGTTCTCTCTCCCACTCATGCCTGTAGAAATGAGGATATTGTCATGCAACACGCAGCCCTCCAGGTATTCTGGATTCCCATTAGCCCTGGCCAGCATGGCCAATGGTAAGGGATGAAGGGACTTGCAATCCAACATCTGGAGTCCCAGATGTCCCTGTACAAGGGTGAGACAAGCCGTGACAACGGAAATCCTCTCGTCCATATGAATGCTCTTAAGCAGTAGAGGAGCATTGCTTGTTTGGTTTTTAATAGTAGGACAGAAGGATAGACCCTCTTGTAAGTCTCAGTGACTGGGTTCAGACAATATGCTAAACCTACACTCAATGAGTGGCATATGGGTGGAGTATGGATTGTTGTTAAAACATGGATTATTGTTTTGTTTGTCCCCAGCTGCACTTACAAGCTATGGCTTGTTAATCATGAACTTGAGAACTCGTGGTTTGTTGTGGGACTAGGAACTGTGGGTTGTTCACCATGACTTGCTATCTCATCTGGGTTCAGGCAACATAACTACCAATTTTTCTACAGCAACCCAGGGTTCAGCAGCCAGCCCCTCCGTGTGTGGTGTTTTTGCCTGAACCTAGTCAGTAGAATGGAGTCTTCCATTCACGGCCAGCTGCAGTGGTGCAGGCTCAAGACTAAATGGTCTTACAGAACGTCCCTTGTTGGATGTTAGTTTCTTCTCTTGCTTTAAAAGCTCGAGGATCTGCTGCATTGAGAGTCCTCCTGTTCATTCTCGCTGAGTGGAGCCCAGGGCTTCCAGCCCAGAACCCAAAGCACTGCCAGGCTGGGCATTTCTCAGGGGCCCAAACCCAGCAGAGGTCCCTCCACTCTAATGGGGCTATTATATCCAGTTTACACAGAGTAACTAAAATCAGATGAAGTACAAGAGAGTCTCTTGGATTAGCTGCCTTTTCCAGAAAGGGAACATGATGGAGAGAAATGGAGTTCATTCCGAGAGGATCCAAAATCCTGGCGTAGCACTGATTCAATGCAACCTTGACTGTAAAACTGGGCTGGGTGCAGCAAGATCCTATCCGTGCCCGCTTAGAGGTCATTCCCAGGGAGTTTATGGGTCTTGCTCTCAGATAGGGCTGCACAGGTTTGCAGCCCAAGAGGCTGGCTTTCTTGAAGTGTCCTGGAGGAAAAACAACAGAGCTGGTCTGCTGTGAGGCAAGATTAGCTCCCTGCAGGCAGATCTGAGAGGCATTGCAAAGGGCAGCAGAGGGTGAGATGGACTGATGTGACCTGACCTACAGTTGAACAGGATGGGTTCCTAGCGCAGGGCTCGTTAAATAAACAAGAAGGTGTGTGTTTAAAGGTTGAGGTTGTGATGACTTTTACTTCTTGCATTTTATGTTACTGTTGATTTCCTGAGTTTACATTCTATTTTGTATGTGTTTTTTATTATAAATCCAAAGAACTTTATGTTATGGGTAGCAGATTAATGTCAGGAATGGAGTCGGGGGGGGCACCCCCCTCCACCACTACTGAAATTTGCTGCTGGAAGAGGTGTTCTACTTTCAAGCTTGCTGTGTGTCTTGTTTTCAAGAAAAATCACCTTTTTTTGAAAACAAGACAGGAGGGCTGCATGCAGGGCACTGGGCGTGTGTTCCCCCCTCCTGCTGCAATCAAACAGGCTGCTCGATGTGGGCCAAGCCGGACTATCTGCCCCAATGTTCCCATTTGCCTCTCACCTGCCACCTGAGGCCTGTGGATGAACCTGGTGAACACTCCTGCAGAACACCTCCCGTGCGACTGAGTGACTCTATCCTACCCCAACCTAATTTCAAAGAAGCATCCCAGGAGACCTCCGGTGTCTCCAGGCTAGCTGGTACAATGGGCGTCATTTTATTATTGATGTAGCTCTGTATTGCCCAGTAACTTAATATTTACGGACAATTCACATTCATGAAGCACGGTGCACAGACAGAATCAGAGCAGAGGTGGAAGGGGCCTGTGAGGCCATTCAGTCGAACCCCCGCTTGCTGCAGGGCTCCAAGGGTGCATCCCTCACAGGAGAGCGCCTACGTCCCCCCTCGCTAACTGGTTCCCTTGCCGTCGGGGTTCTAACACGAAGTGTATCCTAATGTCCAGCTGGAATCTGTCTTCCTGTAACTTGAACTTGTTATTCTGTGCCCTTCACTATGTCATGAATGAGAAGCGACCCTGGCCCTCCAAATATTTGAAAAGTGCTATTCTGTCTCCCCTCAGTCTTCTCCAGGCTGAACATGCTCAGTTCCTTCCCGCTCTCCTCACAGGGCTTCGTTTCCCAATGCCTGATCATCCTCATTGCTCTCCACTAAACTCCCTCCAGCATATCTGCATCCTTCTTAAAAGGACTGAACACTGTACTCAAGAGGGGGCCTAAAATAGCATATTTTCCCAATATACCAAATTTAGGAAACAGTTTAAGAGCGGGAACAATTTTAGTACATCTGTTGTTGCTATGTGCCATCCCCAACTTACGGCCATTCTATGAGTAAGTGTCCAAAATTTCCTGTTCTTGACAGCTCTGCTCAGCTCTTGTAAACCTGAAGCTGTGCCTTCTATTATGGAGTCCGTCCATCTCTGAGTTGGTCTTCCTACTCTTCTTCTGCTTACAACTTTCCTTGGCACAATTGTCTTCTCTGGGGAGTCCTGTCTTCTCATGACATGGCCAAAGTACGGCAGCCTCAGTTTCTTCATATATGTTCCCAGCAAAAGTTCTGGCTTGATCTGATCCAGGACCCGGTGGTTCATCTTTCTGTCCCCCCGGGGTATGTGCAAAGCATTCCTACAGCACCACGTTTCAAATGCACCAGCTTCCTTCCTGTCAGCTTTCCAGACCTGCTAAAAGCAGCTGATGCAAATGCCGCACCATGCCATTAAAGAGCTTTCAATGCCTGAGCAGAGGGCATCCTTAAGCCGGTGCCAAAAAGATGACCAACTTGGCGCCTGGCAGGATTAACTGAGGAGGTCATTCCATAAATGGAAAAGGGCTACCACAAAGAAGGCCCCAGCCGCCTCTTGCCTCTGTCCAGAGGTGGCACTAAGGAATTTGTCCTCAAAATTTGTCAAGGGTGGCTGAGTAAACCCAGGTTGTGATTCCGGAGACCTCGTGCCTTAAGCACCAAAAATAAATAAAAGTGGGGAGGAGCCCAAGGGAATAGAGTTGGGACACTTTATCAGCAGCACGGGTGGGAGGAACCAATGACCTCCCAAATACTGATAGTGGGGAAGAGACCGCCGTGTCAGTCAGAGGATACACTTAAGGACATGCAATGTTCCCTCCAGAGGTTGCCTTAGGAACACTCTGCCTGTGTCATTGAACGTCACGCAGGTGGAAACGCACACCCCCATCCTCCCCCGGGCGAAGCCCTGCCCCCTCCTGCAAGGTTACAGCCTCTCCTTCGCCCGATGCGCCCCAACCCCCGGCGACCGCGCATCGCAGCTGCCTTGCGCGATCGTGGGCCGCGCAGTTCAACCATTCAAGTGCACCCCCGGCACCAATGTCCAGCTGCCGACGGAGGCCCTCCCGTGCCCACTCATCTCCCCCGCCGTACTTTCCCCACTGCAGTTCTCTCTCCGGTCCCTCCCTCCGGCTCGGAGCCTATCAGGGCAATGGGAAGCGGCCGTACGTCGATGCTCGCGTTTCCCCGCCGTCCCTCCCTCCGTTCTCACGTTAAAGCCTGCGAGGCTCTATAAAAGCCGGCCATTTCATTCGCGCTGTCTCAGCGAACAGGCACTCTCCCCGCTCCTTTTGCGCGCCCCCTTCGCATCCGATCGAAGCCGGCTGCTTTTCGGGGGCTTTCCGCTCGCCTCTTCCTCCGCCTTCGGCCCCCTTTCCGGCGTGCGCTTGGCCGCTCCCCATCCCCGGCATCATGACAGACGCGGCGGTTTCTTTCCTGAAAGATTTCTTGGCAGGCGGCGTGGCTGCCGCGATCTCCAAGACGGCGGTGGCGCCCATCGAGAGAGTCAAACTGCTGCTCCAGGTAGAAGCCTTTCGATGGAGGCCGGCGGGAAGCGGAGCGCTGGAGAGGCCGGCGCTGCGGGGAGAAAGCAGCAGATGCTGCGCGCCGCTTCGGAGATAAGGCGGGAGCGAGGCGGGGAATTTCGGGGAAGGGCCACCGGGCCGCCTTTGTCCTGGGCGCAGAGCCTGCGTTTCGGGTGCGCTGCGTGCGTCGAGGCGCGCCGCCTTTGTCCGCACCGAGCTCGTGGCGCATCCCGGCGCGCCACGAACCTGTCCCGGGTGTGCACAGTCGCCACCCGCCCCCGCGCCCTCCAAGGTCGCCCCAAGGAGAGGCAGGCCCGGCCACCCTTTTTCCTTGCTTGCTGTTTGCGGGGGTCGAACGGGATGCCCGCAGCTTTCCATCCTCAGCCAGGCTGCCTCCTGCTCAAGGAGAGCGTCTCCTTGAGCGAGGCTTCGGCTCTGCGCGATGGCGCGGCGGGATCGAGGCTTCCCCCGCATCCAGGCGCGGGCCTCCAGGTTCAGGCTCGGCTCGCGATCGGGGCGTGCCTTTCCCGGGGATCCAAGCCCAGCTGATGCTCCGGCGTAGGTTTGGCCTCGACCTCCCCGCATCCAGAGGACACCGGTCAGAGGCGGGCGGTGGTGCCGGAGCTGCTGGTGCTGGAGAGAACTGGTTCCACTTATGCAAATCCCCGCCTGGCTCTGGATTACGTTGCGGGGGAAGGCGAGGCGGGCGATGCGAGTGATCGCGGCCTTTCCCGCAGAGCGAGGCCCGGCTGCCTCCTGCTGCCGGTGTCCTGGCAGCTCGCCACTTGGCAAGAGCGCCTGGAGGCATCGTCTCCCCGCCGCGCTCGCGGGGGTGGGGGTCTGGTCTGGCCTGTGGAGCAGGACAAGCGTGGCCCCCCGCCCCGAAATGCACCTGCACTGCCTCTGCCTGCGCATCTGTGCGAGGATGGCTGGGGGCTTTCCAGTGGATGAGCGCAACCGCTCCCAAAAGGGAAACGAACGGCATTTGACAATGAATGGCAGCCGATCAAGAACGGTGATGGCCTTGTTGCTGATGGGCCCGCCAGCAGACAGACCCCCGGCAGAAGTACCAACATGCCATCCATCTCAGTGCTGCTCGTGGGTAGCGAAGCGGGGCCAGCAAGGCCACTTGCTCTCCCAGAAGCGCTTGGCAGTGGCTGGACAGGGCAGCAGCTGGAAGCACAAGGGCCCGGCCCAGGCCCCTGTGGGAGCAGCGGGATGGCGACCGATCCCAAAGGGGGAGGGTAGGTGCAGGAAGGCGATGCACTCTGACCCCCCCACCCACCCACCCCGCCTTGAGGCACGGGCCTGGTGGCCTGTGGAACTGACAGCTGAGTTGGGAGCTTTGGACACCTTGAGGCCATCATGGTAGCAGAGCCCTGAACTAGTTCCTTGTGAGGAAGGTCACCTTGCCATGAAGGTGTTATCGCTAGATGGCTTACGGCCATTGTCTTGCTATCTTGCAAAGGTCAAATAAAAAAGGACCTGGCTTGGGAGGCAGTCACAAGATTGATCACTTCCCAGAGCAGAGATGCTCTTTAAAAGCTACATTTCTATTCTGCTGTGTGGGGTCCTGCCCTTATTACGTCAATTTATATGCCACCACAATAGCCCAAACCTAGCTCTCTGTGCGGCTTACAACAATATGAAGTCCGCTTTCCCAGTTTACAGTTACTACTCTTGCTTTGGTGTGTCGAAGGCAACTGTATTTAAAAGGAGCTATGAAAACAGTGTCAGACATGCCCAGGAAGAAGAAAGGGAGCATTCAAGGTCTCCTTCCTGTTCAGCAGAGCCCAAAGAATGAAAGTGAAATGGAAGCCTTTATTTCAAGTGGAGAAAAAGTGCAGTGCTTAGTTAGCCAATTATAAGCCAATCATAGTTTACAGACTTTACCATGATTTCATATTTATAACTCATATATATATTGTGGTGCCACTTGGTTTTCCTAACGATTCATTATATTTGGTAAGCTAGAGGTTCAAGTGAATGTTTTGCATAGGAGTATGCATAGTATTTATTATTTCTGCAGCTCCTAACAACCAAAGCTCTCTAGGCAGTTTACAATCATTCAGGAAAATGATACAAGTAAAATACAAAAAAGGGATAAAATCCTAGCAAAAATACAAGTCTTTTAAAACAAAAATTAAGAATAGCCGTGAGCCACCTAGTTTATTTTTCACCAGGAGATGAAAAATGCCTCACTGAACATGCAACCCAGCGGAATTCTTCCTCTTCCCGTCTCTGACAGGTGCAACACGCGAGCATGCAGATCACAGCGGAGAAGCAGTATAAAGGCATCATTGACTGTGTCGTCCGGATCCCTAAAGAGCAAGGCTTCCTGTCTTTCTGGCGTGGCAACTTAGCCAATGTGATCCGGTACTTCCCCACGCAGGCCCTCAACTTCGCTTTCAAAGACAAATACAAGCAGCTCTTCCTGGGTGGCGTCGACAAAAGAACCCAGTTCTGGCGTTACTTTGCCGGCAACTTGGCTTCAGGCGGGGCTGCTGGAGCGACTTCACTCTGCTTCGTCTACCCGCTCGACTTCGCCCGAACACGCTTGGCAGCTGACGTGGGCAAAGCTGGAGCCGAGCGTGAGTTCAAGGGGCTCGGCGATTGCCTGGTCAAGATCTTCAAGTCAGACGGCCTCCGTGGGCTCTACCAAGGCTTCAACGTGTCCGTTCAAGGCATCATTATCTACAGAGCAGCTTATTTTGGCATCTACGATACTGCAAAAGGTAAGCCTTATGTGGGTTTCTCCCTGGGATGTGCCTGCTTCTTTCAGCTTCCTCATCAATGCTGGCAGTGAACACCCCCAAGGGAGGCTTTTTGACTCTTCTTTCATCCTGGTTTTCTTCGCATAACAGGAATGCTTCCGGATCCAAAGAACACCCACATCTTGATCAGTTGGATGATCGCCCAGACAGTGACAGCTGTTGCTGGCTTGACCTCTTATCCTTTCGATACAGTCCGGCGACGGATGATGATGCAGTCTGGTCGTAAAGGGGGTATGTATTTTCGCTTGCAAAGGACAGCAAAAGCTTGGCTGGTGGAGATACAACAGCATCTTTCAGCTTTGCCTGGTCTCCTCCCAAAGTGCTGGACTGCAACAAGGCGTAGCTGGGAATTCTGGGAGCTGTAGTCCAGCACTTTGGGAAGCCTCCTGTTAGGAAAGGTTGTACTAGATCCTTCCATATGTCTCTGCTGTTCCACAATGAGCTCTGAGCCTGTGTAAAATATCTTGGGTACACAAAGCATTGTGCATTGAAGCGGACCTGCTGGCTGTCCAGCGCTGCACAGCCAGTTTGAACCAGCAAAATATCCTGAGCCTAGCTCAAGCTTGGACCTGTTACCTGCTCCATCTAAGTGCAGATGGTATCCAGCTTGCAGCTCTGGCTGGCACAGTGCAGCTGAGCAATGCCCTGTATTGGGTGTGAGGAATCTGTGGCTCTCTTAGTTGGACTCGCAGCTCCTGTCAGCCTCAGCCAGTGGTGATGGGACTTGTAGCCCAACAGCTTCCAGAAGACCAAGGGTTCCTCACTCCTGGCATGTGCTCTGCAACATCCCCAGGTGAGCTGTGGAGGGAAAGCTCTTTTCAAGGATGCACGGGCTTTTAAAGGGAATATGAACTAGAGGCCAGCATGTATAAATTGTCCTTTGTGGAGTTTACCTGGATGCATAAACTGGACTAATTACTGACTGTTAGCAACCCTATTCTAATTAACACCAAAGGTTATGATTGTAAGACTATGTAGATATAAGAAATCCAAGGGGATTACTTGTAAGTAGAAGTGCAAAACTGCATGGAAACAGTAATAAGTTATATGTGGTAGATTTCTAGGCTCAAATGTACCCAGAGGTCATTTAGTCCAACCTCTGCACAAATTTATCTAGTTCATTCATGAAGCTGGGCTAAAATGCGTTGTGCAAACAGCTTCTATTTCTCTACAAAAATGCTTCCCATTAACTTCACAGAATTTGGTGTGCTGGATGGTATCACTTGTACTCTTAAGTAAACACGGCAAGGAGTAGCTTGCAGAAGCATTCAAACTTGGCCACTTTCTTTTTGGCACAACCTCCAACTTACTTTGTCCCTTTGTAACCTACTACACAACAAATCCTTTGTAACCTACTACATAACAAATTCTGCTTTTCTTTCCAATGGTTCCACTACTTTTCCTTCCTTGATGCAGGCCACTAAAGGAATTTTAACTTGTTAGCTCCTCGTGGAAGGATCTGTCCTGTTGTACCAATGATGCTGAAGTTCTTTCAGCTGAATTAAACTTCAGGCCCAAAATGCAAAAATTAAAAAAATGAAATAAAATAAAATGCCAGCACATTTTCCACTTAAACCTTTAAATATAGTATACAAATAAAAAGAACTATAGTCCTGAACTGGATTTGGCTGAGAGTTTACACCCCTGGGCTGCCCACTATACAGTACTCTCCCCGGTAGCATTATATCAGCGATGATCTAGGAGCAAAACACACCAGCAGGACTGACAGCAGAGTGATTTGGTCCATGCGCTCCTTTTCTTTCTGTTTTGCTTCCAGCTGACATCATGTACTCTGGCACGATCGACTGCTGGCGGAAGATCGCCCGCGACGAGGGGGGCAAAGCGTTCTTCAAGGGTGCGTGGTCCAACGTCCTCCGAGGCATGGGCGGCGCCTTTGTCCTAGTGTTGTACGACGAAATTAAGAAGTTCACATAAACTCCTTCCCATTCTTGGATGGCACTTAACTATGTAATGTTCATGGACTGCGTCAGAATTATTTATCCGTTCCCACTGAAGTTGCTACTGGTTGGCAGGGGGGCCACGATTCTGCTTGCCTGACCTGTTTATCGAGTCATTCCCCTGACAATGGGACTCAAACTTCATTTTTATTCAGTCACGCCTGTTAAAATTAAGTTTGAGAGAAAAATAAAATAAAAATCCTGGGAAAAAAAGTCGTCTGCTTCTCCCTAATCTGGAATAACTCCCCTTCTGGTCGAATGTCAACATGATCAAATGTGTTTCATTTCTTTTCTGGGTTGCTTATCCACTCTTCTCTGCTTTGAATCATATTGATCATATTGCTAACTGAAAAGGCATTTCTACCACTGGTGCTAATACAAGGTGAATTTTGCCTGGGGAAATTCATAGTTAGCTTCCCTGCAGACTGGCACCTTCCAGACTCCACATCCAACTATCCCCAGCCATTGGCCTTCTCTGGCCTCAGCAAAAAGGTTTGTCTCTTCAGTTCTTTTGATAGCGTTTTCTTGAAAATGCTTGGTCAGCAATTGTGTCCAGTTTGGCTGACCCAGTAAAGTTCTGGTAGTCCATTCACTGACTCCAGGTCGCACACGCAAGGTGTGGGGTGGTTCCTTGGCCAAGCGGGGCACATGGGCCATCTTCGCAACTTGGCTTTTTTCAGAGGGGATTAGGCACATTCCTGGCGGAGCCCGCCATTTATGGATTCTAGCCATGGCGCATGGAGGGAGGCAGTGGGTCCTTCTGGCCCAGTTGTGGGGACCACGGAAAGGAGGGTACCCCTGCACTTCCGTCATGTCTGGAGGTATCCCAGAGGCCTCTGGGGGGGCATTATGGGAAACCAGACCTGGGAACTAGACAGACCCTTGGTCTCTGCCCACTGTGCTCATCCGAACACGTAGTCCTAGTCTATGTTTTTACCTAACTTTGTAAGAACCTAATTGCAAGATTTGCAGAAATATATATAAAAGGGAAGAGGCTTTTTTCCCTGGGTGGCCGATCCAAAGAGGCCTGAGCGTGCTGCGTGGTCCCCGGACGCTGAGGGGCAGTGAGGTGGAGTATCCTGCGAGGGGGCTTGGTTTGCAGGACAAGCAGCCGCATTCCATGCTGCTGCATTTTGTTGCAGTTCCTGCTTGCATTGGCAATTTTACTTTTTTCAGTCGAAGGGCTGAATCCAGTTGTGGAGAAACGCCTGATGAGAAGGACCAGAGGGAAAAAGGGCAGGGCCAAAACGACAGCATATAATCAGAATACCCCAGTCAAGCTGTGACAACCTGGATTCAGCCTAGATATCAGGAAGAGCTTACTCACTGTCAGAGCGGCACGACAGTGGGACCAGCTGCCTGGAGAGGCGGTGGGCTCTCCCACACTGGAGAGAATCAAAGAGAAACTGGACGGTCACCTGAGTGGGATGGTGGAATGTGGGGTCCTGCAACAGCAGGGGGCTGGACCTGATGGCCCCTTCCAACTCTAATATTCTATGATTCTACGATATTTTGGCATAATGCTCTAAGGTAACTAACCCTTAGGAACAACATTTAGCATGCTGGGGAAGGGCACAGAATCTGGGAAGCCCCCAAGCGATTTGTGGTTTGGGGGAACGGGGTGGGACACTTGAAGGGGGAGCGGCTGTCTGGGGAGCCCGGGGAGCCAAATCCGGTGTGTAGGTCAGAGATTCAACCCCCTTGTCCTATATGAATGCATGTGATAGGAGGAGAGGGAGAGCAGCTCAACACCTCTAGGGACAGCATTGCCTCTGCTCTAACATTGCATTTCTATCCTGCCCTTTTTGCTCTTGTGAGGAATCCAGGGATGTTCATGTAGTGCCATTTCCCCCCCAAAAAACAACCCTGTGAGGTAGGTTGGGCTGGCAGTGAGTGACTGGCCCAGAGTCTCCCAGTGATCTTCATGGCTAAGTGGGGATTAGAACTAAACCTCAGTTAAGGAACCGTATCGATAGTCTTCAGTATCTTGGACCCACGTGGGTGGGCATCTTGCCTGTGTCCCGGATCCTTGCAGACTGGTGGTCTTGACCCTACCCTTTACTGTGGGGATCTCTGGAAGGCTCCTGGGAGCTGATGATTTGTCCTTCACCTTTGAATGGCGACAAGAAGTGATCCTTGGCTTCCAGATGAGAGAGAGGAGAGAAAAAATCCGTTAGCCTAGAGACCACGGTGCTGAAAAACTGTCATGAGAGTGTGTCTTTGAGAAAATGTTTTCTGGAACACCCAAAGGTTTGCAGAAGCAAGTTTAGGTTGCAGAAGAGGTTGGAGACTTGGATGACAATTCTTAAGGGGCTGCTGCCTCCCCTCTAACAAAGTGTGTGTGTGTGTGGGGGGGGTCTTACCGCATTCTCCAGCAGGGGTAAACTAGGCAGACCTCTAAGGAGAGTTACACGAAATGGGTAAACTTTTTTGATTCTTGACTGTTGAACGACAGCACCAAAAATCACCTCTCCACTATCACACTGAAAATGTCAGTGAAATTAAGGAAGTTTGCAGTAAGCAGGAATGAATTTTCATTGTACGGCTGCAAATCCTCTTTAGTTCAGCTATTCAAAATAAACTCCTAGGCTCAAGATTATGCCTTTTCTGCCTGGCTCTGGTTGGGAAATTCTGAGAATTGACCAAATTCCAAAACAGATCCTGCAATTTTGCCTGCTCTTTACTGCAGGGAAGGCAGTGCCTCTTTTCCTGTCTGCTTTCGAGGGCTGTCACAAAATCTTTCTAGCTGTGCAGGGCTCAGTGACAAATAGAGGCCGCTATTCTGAAAAGGAGCAGGGAGCTGGAACAGGGAGCTGGGCAAGTGCATTGACCTGGAATGAACACCAGGACCAGGGCTCCACTGTTTCGTGGTCCCTCCCTCTGCTGTTGTGAAACTCGGCATGCCACAGCCTTCCCCGATGCACACGCGACTTCGAGACACCCACGTTTCTGCTCTCAAAGTGGCTCAGAATTCCTCCACAGTCAAGAGCTGCTACAACATGCAGGAAAGAAAGCCATTTCGATTGGAATTCCCAGTTGCCATCTTCCTTCTGGGACTTGGAAACTTATGTCGTCTCTTTTATGAAAAGGGAAAGAACTCAGTGAGGTCCCCTAAGCAGCATCCAGAACCTTAATCCCACAGATCAAATCTAGCCATCTGGTATTTCTCAGATGGCCTCCCCTCCTTTCCCCAATCCTACGCCCTTTCCTTTGGTCCCACACCCTTTCGTCATCCCCCCACTGATGCGTAATAGTCCCCAACCATTATAAAAGGTATCTATCTATCTATCTATCTATCTATCTATCTATCTATCTATCTATGAATCTATCTATCTATCTATTAAATTTATATCCCGCTGTTTCCTTACAACAGACTCAAAGTTTTGTAAAGCCTCTCCCAAAGCTTGTTTACTGGTAGGAATATCTTTAAGCTAAAATATGCTTCTGTTTTTGGTCCTGCCTTTTCTGGTGTGCCCCCATCCCAGGCGGCCCTCAAAAGCTCCCCAGAAATTAAATTCAGCCCTCAGAATGAAGATGCAACCTTCTTCTTTTAAAGAAGCCTCTCCTGGCCTGGTACTCGCCAGATGTCTTGGCTCGCATTTCCTGGCACTCCTGGCCACCAGCCCTGATGGCCGGGGCTGATGGGAGTTGGATTCCAAAGCACCTGATATACACCCGGTTCAGGAAGGCTCCATTAAAACCTTTCAGCTCTGATCCAGATAACGTTGCACAGGCTTAGCTCCTTCTGAACTGAGCGAGATATCTAAAGGTGGTTGTTAGTTTTGCTTTAATTGGAGGCAGACCGCTGAAGGCTTTGCCATGATGTCACGGTAGTGGTGGCATTTTAACGAGGGCAACTTTGGCAGCCATGTGCCAACTCGATGTTGCAACCATCCCTGGCCACCAGTCATCGCTCGGGCTGCGGCGTTTAATCAGTAACCAGCTTGCTTTTTAAGAATTCCGTTGCCTGAAAAGGTTGCCTAGACTACACCGATCAACCACTGAATTAGTTCTTACACCACCAGCCCCCATCACCACACCAGCAACTACCCATGGATGCCAGGTAATGGCGCCTCCTTTGGGATTTTCTGGTTGAGAGGCAAGCTGACAACAATGCCTGCTTGAGCACGTGCGGATGGCTTCTCGGTCGGCAGATACTCTATTCCACACACAGTGCCAAAGAACGACCAGACACAATTTTTTAAAGTGCCAGTTAAGGTGTTCCTATTAGGCTATGGAACACTAGTGATTTAATGGTCCCCTCTGTGATTCAGTGAAGTCAAAATTAGCTGCAGGCCAAAGTAGGCCTTTCCCCGCTCACAGGTCCAATCTCTCCAAATCTGTTCGTGCAAGAGAAGTCACTGCATTTATTTTAAAAAAGTGCTGGACTATGGGGCATCACTGCAGCACACAACTTCTGGTAGCGAAAGCATTCCCGTGGGCTGCCTATTTTACTTCCCAGGAACTGCGTGGGTGAGTCCCGCCCCTCCAGCAGCACAGGGGGACCCCCTGCTTTCATTCCACACCCTTCCCTGGCTCATCTGTTGATGAACATTGTGCAAGTTTTTGTCAGAATGCTAATTTTGGACAATTTATGATCTGCGTGCAAGCTTTTTTGTTTTTAAATCTTACTTATTCTTTAGAAATCCCATTACTTGGGGAAATTATTTGCTTGCTTTCTTTAAAGATCTCTGTTAGATATGTACGATATAATCCACAGGAAAGGTATGCTACAGGAGTGCCATTGACACGAATGGGAACTGTGCTGTTCCTTTCAGCTGGTCTTGTGCAGGAGTTCCTCAAGGTGTTAAGAAACTGAAGATGGAGACACAAAGGGTGATGCTGGAGGGCAGACCAAACTAACAACAGAACCAGAGAAACAATGGGATATTCTGACCTATCCTCTCATTTAACGCAACGGAACAAAATCAGAACATATGTAAGCATTTGGCAAGAGAAGAACAGATAGGGACAGATCATTCATGAAGATGCAGAGCAAATGAGCATCTATTCCAAGTCAAACAGACGGTTACAAACTCATCCAGGAGGTCACAGATATGCCCACAGATAATGCAGCTTCTTGCTTGGCCTTTAAGTCTCTGCAGGTTATGTGGAATGTCTGCAGAAGCTGTGCAGTCTCCTCAGGCTTTGGGCCCCTGCGCAATACAGCTGTGCATCCACGGGCTCTCTCCAGTTGGCCACTGGCATCAGCC